TAGAGCGCTTGCCTTGCATGCATGAGGCCCTGGGTTCAATTCCTCAGCACCACATAAGCAGGAAAAAAAAAGAAGTGGCACTGTGGTTCAAGTGGTAGAGCGCTAGCCTTGAGGTGAAGAGCTGAGGGACAGTGCCCAGGCCCAGAGAGTTCAGGCCCACGAACGGACCAAAAATAAAACAAAACTGAGAGCTCGAGGCTGGGAATGTAGCTTAGTGGTAGAGTGCTTGCCTAGCATGCATGAAGCCCTGGGTTCGATTCTTCAGTACCACATAAACAGAAAAAGCCAAAAGTGGCACTGTGGCTCAAGTGGTAGAGTGCAAAAGAAGCTCAGGGACAGTGCCTAGTCCTGAGTTTAAGCCCCAGGACTGGCAGGAAAAAAACAAAAAACTGAGAGCTCCTTGGGGCAGGTCTACTGCTATCCCTAGCACAGGGTCGTTCTTGTCCATTGAAGAGTATCCTTCCTAAGTTATCAGCTCTCTGAGTTGATAAAGGAGATTAATATATACTATTCCTTATTGAGTGAGCATTTCACAAGCTTATAGTGTTGGGTTCAAAATCTTCAAAGAGCCGATTGCCTTCACCTGGTAGTAGCAGCCCTACAATTCTGCCTGTTCTCTGCCTCTCACTAATTTCTTCCCTTCAGGCACATCACCAACAGGAAACGGCCACAGCTCAGCTGGAGCAGCTTCATCAGGAGGCAAAGCGACAGGAAGAAATACTTACCAGGGCAGTCCAAGAGAAGGAGGCCCTAGTACGGGAGAGAGCAGCTCTAGAAGTGCGGCTGCAGGCTGTGGAACGAGACCGCCAGGATCTAACTGAACAACTTCTGGGACTTAGGTAGGGGCCAGACCTAGGTCAGCCAGGCACAGAATGCTTTGCAAGGCAAAGCATAGCCAAGCTCCCTGCCCTAAATATATGAATTCTTTTTTTTTTTTTTGTTCAGTCATGGGGCTTGAACTCTGGGCCTGGACACTGTCCCTCAGCTCTTCAGCTCAAGGTTACCGCTTGAGCCACAGCGCCACTTCCGGCTTTTTCTGTTTATGTGGTGCTGAGGAATCCAACTAGGGCCTCATGCATGCGAGGCAACACTCTACCACTGAGCCACCTTCTCAGCTCCATATATGAACTTTGTATCATGAATTTATAATTGCCCTCCTCCTAAATTCTCTAGGAAGCCATTTTTTAGAACCCAATTCCTCTTAAGAAAAGGTCAGGGGCTTGATGGGTAAGAGCTCTTCTCAACTGAATCTCACAGCTCAGCCAAGGAGCAACTGGAGAGCAGTCTGTTTGAGGCTCAACAACAGATTTCTGTAATAGAGGTCACCAGAGGGCAGCTGGAGGTCCAGATTCAAACTATCACTCAAGCTAAGGACGTAATCCAAGGTAAGAGTCCAGCTGGAATGGGACCATTCCATGGAGATGTCGAGAGCCAGGCAGCAAGATATTGGGAGGCCTTCTCTAGCTAGGTTCGGGTCTGCCAAGATGGGAGTAGAGTGGAAAGCAAGAGAATATCATGAGGTAAAAGCAGCTGGGCAGAGATTCATAAAACTGCTTCTTCCTGGTATCCTAGGGGAGGTAAAGTGCCTGAAGCTGGAACTGGACACAGAAAGATGCCGGGCAGAGCAGGAACGGGATGCAGCTGCCCAACAACTGGCCCAGGTTGAGCAAGAGGGACAGACTGCCCTAGAGCAGCAGAAGATGGCCCACGAGGAGGAAGTGAATCAACTCATAGAGAAATGGGTAGGTGGTTGAAGTGGCTGGTAGGGAGGAGAAGACATGGCTTCCCTTTTGTGATTGAGCCATCAGCTGACTCTTGGTCCATGATTACAACTTAAAAGAGGAAAATTTAGTTACCAAAGTGTAAAATCTAATTTTCAGCTATTAAAGGAGTTAATATATGAATAAATATCAAGAATAGTTTATGGCTGGATACTATAGCTCATGCCTATAATCCTAGCTACTAGGGGCTTAGATTTGAGCATTGTGGTTTGAAGCTAGCCAGGCCAGGAAAGTCCATGAGATTCTTACTTCCAGTTACCTACCAGAAGACCAGAAGTGGAGCTGTGGCTCAAAGTGATAGACTGCTAGCCTTGAGCATAAAGGCTCAGAAAAAATGCCCATGACCAACAAATAAAAATAATAGGTTCTGGCCAGCCACGCCTGTAATCCTAGCTACTCAGGAGGCTGAGATCTGAGGATCGTGGTTCAAAGCCAACTGGGCAAGAAAGTCTGAGAGACTGTTATCTCCAATTAACTACCAGAAAACCAGAAGTGAGCCACAGCTCAAGTGATAGAGCGCTTGCCTTG